CTGTGACCTGGAGAGGCCTTCCTGAGGATTAGGGACATGATGGGGCTTTAAGGGGAAAATCAGAGGCAGATCCAGGGTGAGTGACACAGAGAACCTGCCGGAGTCCTGCTCTGGTTTCCCCTCAGGATGGCCCAGGTTCCCAGTTAATTCACTTTCAGGACCTCAATGACTGGACTGTCCATAGGAGACAATGCCCTGGGCCACCCCAGCACACAGAAGACGGCTCCCTGAGTCTCCCTGTGGGACAGAGAAGGAAAGGGAGAGAGAGAAGGTGAGCTGGGAAACCACCCTGTCCTCCCTGATGTCCCAACTCTGAGTTGGTCAGACCTGCCATCAGGCTCAGGAACACTGGCTCCTCCTAAGGTGATATGTCTCTTATGCTGTTTCCTTTCCTTCCTGGCACCCCCTGACACTGGGCAGCACCTCTGACTCTGAGAAGAGACCCCATGGGGCCGAGGGAGGAGGATCTGAAGAGGGACAGTCCCAGCTCCTCAGACCAGGGGTCTCACACTTGACCACTGGCTGACACTCTGAACTCCATCTTCTTTGAAAGGTGTCTGCACCCTGGACAGTGATTTGTGGGGAAGACAGTAGTCTGAGAATCACCTTAAATGCAGATTTTGTGCTCTGGGGATTGCCTACACACAGCTGGAGAGTGTGATCAAAAGTAGAGAAGAGGCTGCAGACCCGGGGCTCCACTATTCTCAGCTCCACCTCTTGCAGAGTGCTGGAGGCTGGTTCCTCCACCTTGACTGGGGGGAAGCCCAGAGCAGGGGGCCCAGGGGGTGGTCTTCTCTGTACAGAATGTGTGACACAGTGCTGAAAGTCCTGTGTTCCCTTCACCTTCTGGCCTTGTAACCTGGCTGATCTCTGAGCAACATGGGATATGCAGACAGTGGAGACAGGAACCTGGAGAGCTGGTCATGCGCGGGGACAGAGTGGGGCTGAGTGAGGGCAGAATGGGAGTGGGGGGAAGCTTAGGTGAGCATGACTGTGGGGCGTCCAAGGCCGCCTGGGCTTCTGTGCCTGGAGCAAAGACAGCAGACACCAGAGCCACCGAGAGGAGAGGGCAGAACACGGGGCAAGGGGGGATTCCAAAGACGCCTGTCCCAACTCGAAGCCAGCTGGTGCACCCTCTGTGTTCAGGCCCTGGGGCTCTGTGTTCCAGGGGAGATCATCGGGGGCACAGAGAGCAAGCCACACTCCCGCCCTACATGGAAATCATCACCTCACAGGGAAAGCAGGCGGCTTGTGGTGGTTTCCTGATAAGAAGGGAGTTTGTGCTGACGGCTGTGCACTGTGCAGGGAGCTGAGACAATGGGTCCTGTTTATCTCCAACTGGGAGGTGAGCAGCCAGGGGAGCAACCAGGGCCAGCCCCTGGGGGCTTGAGGGGGAGGTCCTAGGGCTGGGTCTCCTTAGGGAGAGACAATACTTGGCCTTAAGGAAACCACTCTCAGGCTGGAGCAGCTGTCCTGACCCTCAGTCACTGTGAGCTCAGCTCCCCTCAGAGGAAAGGGGACCTCCTCCAAGTGCCCCTCTTCTAAAAGCAGCTCCCCCTCCCCAACCCCAACACAAGAGATGTGGACTCACTCTTCAGGGTCCCACCCAGTTCTTGGAGCATTTGCTCTATGCCCTTTTGAAGAACACTGGCCGGTAGTTCTCAGGGACCTGAACCTACCCTTTCCATGGAGACAGAGAACAGGGTCCACCTGAGACCCCATCACTCCCCCCTTTCCTCGGACACTCTGACCTCAGAGAGGTGGCCCTCATTAGGACACCTTGATTAGGAAGTACCTGCCCTGTCCCCTGGGTCCTCACGGCCCACTCACTCCCCAGCACGTCCCGAGGGCCCTGGAAATTATCTGTGTTCCCTGGAAAGCTCTTCCTTGAGTAAAGCCTGAGCCCCTCCCGTACCACGAGTAGCTAAAAAAGGGAGGTGGGTGGAGATCACTGACCCTGGGAGAGACTACAAGCCCTTTCTCAGAGTAGGCATATCTCAGGAGACACCCCACCATCAGCGTTTCACCTTGTCCTTCTTCTCCCTCACATGGGTCTGTAACAGTCACCCTCGATCCCATAACAAAAAAAAGCAAGAAGACACATGGCAGAGGCTTGAAGTCATAAACAGTTTCCTCCCCCAAAATATGAGCGTCCATTGGTCTCCATAACATCATTTTACTGAAGGTGCAAATTCTTCTTCCCCTACGCATGCCCTGTTCTCTAGAGATTCCTTCCCCGCTCCCTGCTCCCTGTCCTCCAGGGCTTCCTTCCCCGCTGCCTGTTCTCCAGGGCTTCTCCTTCAGGTCCCGTTACCCTCACACTCTCCCAACCTGCCTCTCACCAGTAGCCCTCAGCTCAGCATCTGCAAGTGGCTCTCAGGTGGAGCCCTGTCCCTCCCTGGTTGCCCCCACCCGGCCCAAAGCCCGTTTCCATCACTGACAGCCCCCATTTCCCTCACAGCTGAAGGAGAAGGCCAGCCTGACCCTGGTCGTGGGGACTCTGCCTCTCCCACCCCAGTTCACCTTCATCCGTCCTGGGAGAATGTGCTGGGTGGCTGGCTGGGGAAAAACAGATGTGAAGGAACCAGCCTCCAGCACTCTGCAAGAGGTGGAGCTGAGAATCGTGGAGCCCTGGGCCTGCAGCCCCTTCCCTGCTTTTGACCACAGTCTCCAGCTGTGTGTGGGCCATCCTCAGAGCACAAAATCTGCATTTAAGGTGATTCTCAGACTACAGTCTTCCCCACACATCACTGTCCAGGGTGCAGACACTTTTGGAAGGAGATGGAGTTTGGAGTGTCAGCCAGTGACCAAGTGTGAGACCTCAGGTCTGAGGACTAGGACTGTCCCTCTGCATATCCTCCTCCCTCAGCCCCATGGGGTCTTTTCTCAGAGTCAGGGGTGCCGCCCAGGGTTAGCGGGTGCCAGGACGGAAAGGAAGATACCGCATCAGACAGAGACATATCACCTCATGAGAAGCCAATGTTCCTGAGCCTGATGGCAGGTCTGACCAACTCAGAGTTGGGACATCAGGGAGGACAGGGTGGTTTCCCAACTCACCTTCTCTCTCTCCCTTTCCTTCTCTGTCCCACAGGGAGACTCAGGGGGCCCTCTTCTGTGTGCTGGGGTGGCCCAGGGCTTTGTCTCCTATGGACAGTCCAATGCAAGGCCCCACCATTCACCCGGATCTCCCATTACTGGCCCTGGATCGATGAGGTCCTGAAAGAGAATTAACTGGGAACCTGGGCCATCCTGAGGGGAAACCGGGGCAGGACTCTGGCAGTTCCTCTGTGCCACTCACCCTGGATCTGCCTCTGATTTTCCCCTTAAAGCCCCGTCACGTCCCTAATCCTCAGGAAGTTCCCTCCAGGTCACAGAATTCCCAATAAATCTCAGTGAACACCTGGCTTCCAGACCTGAGCGTGTGTCTCCTCTCTCTTCTCCCAGCATCAGGCATTCCAGAAGCCTTGAAAGGGGTGAGTGTGTGGTTCTGTGTGAGAAGCAGAGAGGATACAGTGAAGAACAGTAGGGATAGAAAGAAGAGAAAGGGGTTCCCTGGAGTGGCAGGACCCCTATGTCCACCTTAAAGAAGAAAGTACAGCAGATCCTTCCCTGCCTTCATCATCAACTCTGAGTCATCTTTAGGGCTCTTGAGAATCACTACAAGCATGCTGAATCGCAGGGTGTTTAGAGCATCTCTGGTCTCTCCCCATTAGGTGCCAGTATCAACATCCTCCTCTCCTCTAAGTTCTGAACCAATGATGTCTCCAGGCTTTGCTAAATGTCCCCCAGGGGAGATGTCATGTTGGCGGGGATGTGGTGGGGGTTGTGGTAGGCAGGGCATTATGAAGGAGCTGGGCAGGAATCAGCCTCAGTTGAGAAGCTCAGGTTTAGATGCATTTGGTTCACACTGGGCCCCCCTCACATTCCACCTCAATAAGAGAAGATCTACCATCTGTGCAGCTTGATGTGAGATGCAGAGAAGATCTTGTGTCACTGACTTCTGCAAACGTAATAGGTGGAGCTGATAAGAGGAGAGACAACATCACAAGTCCTGTACGAACCGCAGCCACAAACGGCTGCTCCCAACCCCACTAGCCTGTGTGACCTCCACCACGTCCAGTACTGTGGGCAACACGGAGGGAAAGGGTCAGCCCTGTGAGAACAGAGGGACATAACTCTGTCTCCTCGGCCCAGGAGTAGAACAGCCTTGATGTGTAGGATGGAGGCTGCCTCCTGGATTCTGTGTAATTACCTGCTGCTGTGAGAACACACCTGAATTGGGTAATAGGCTCGTCCTTCATGCTGAGTGTCAGCCTGACCCCTGCTTCTGTGTCCTTGGAGACCAGCCCAAGTCAACAGTCCCCCAGTGTCTTCATGTGGAGCAGATCAGGGCCCCGGGGGAGGAGATGGAGCTGCCTCCTGGGTGCAGTGAAGCACTGTCAATGTCCAGGCTCCCGGCTTGAGAGCTGAGCAGCCCCCAGGGGCCTGCCCTGGGCTCTCATGGAGGCCCTGTAAGGCCACCATCGCCTAGAGGGTCTTAAGATGGGGGGGCAGGACCAGGAGGAGAGCTGGCTCAGTCCTTCCCCTTTCGTGTCCTCGGGGGGACTCTGGGGTGTGACAATGTAGCCCCCGGGCATTGTCCCCTTTGGACAAAATAATGTGTCACCTCCAGGGTCCTGCACCACAGTCTCAAGTTTCCTGCCCTGCATAAAGAAAACCATGAAAGGCCTCTGACTGCAGGAACCAGACCATCTTCCCTGGGGCTGATCCAGAATCATATTGTGGGGTTGGGGGTGCCCACAGCTCAATAACTGTCTCTTAGCTGGGCTCGAAGGGCTGATTGTATATTTATTCACTGACTCCTATTCACAAATACTCATTGTTTGTTTAGAAAGGCAATGACAGGATTCTGCTGTTTTCTGCTTCCTCCTCTCCCGCCTCCCACCATCTCTTCCCCTAAACCCCATGCAAAGCTGTCACCCAGGTCTGCTTACGCACACCTGTCTTCCAGGGCCGGCCCTCCTGCAAGGGCTGAAGCTGAGCACCATCAGGGGAAAACATGAACCTCTCTGGTCCTGGGGCTCAGGGTGAACTCCTTACTCCTTCCTCTGGGTACATGGCAGGAGGGAGTGGGTCACACCATGGGGCCCTGACTCCAAGAGCACAGCCTGGGCTGCAACTCCAGGACAGAGGCCTGCCTACTGGGGAGGGAGGCTACCTGAGCTGACCTGTAACCCCCACAGCCAGGGGGGCTGGCCCAGAGCAGGGCTGGGCCTCATGAGAAGCCCCTCGTTCTCATCCAGAGAAGAGTGTTATTACAGGTAACTCTAGAACATCAGTCATTCTGTTTCTAGACATGAAGATAGTCCTCTGCTCACTGGAGCATCCTCGCCCCCGGGGGAGGGGGCAGCAGGGAGGGAAGAGAAGGAACAGGGCAGCCTTATTTTTTACTCTGAATGTGCTGTGCTTAGTCATTCAGTCTCTCAGTCGTGTCCGACTCTTTGCAAACCCATAAACTGTAGCCTGCCAGGCTCCTCTGTCCATGGAATTCTCCAGGCCAGCTTACTAGAGTGGGTACCCTTTCCCTTCTCCAGGGGATCTTCCCAACCCAGGGATCAAACTCAAGTCTCACCACATTGCAGGTGGATTCTTATTAGCTGAGCTACCAGGGAAGCCCACTCTTAAGATAGCAGGTAGAAATACATTGCACATGCTCAAATGGTAGGAACACCCATTTGAAAGTCAATTAGAATCTGATTCTAAACACTCATCCATGGGATGGACCAGAAACAGGCTCCCTGTCATGGAGGCAAGCTCCTGCCTGTGGGAACCAAACTGCTGTCAGCGAGGCCCACGTGGTCTGGACAAACGGAGAAATGCCGTCCCATTACTTCTGCTCCATAGGGTCCAAGACGACCTAGACTTTCTATCCTTGGGAAGGTCTTGGTTTGGAGAGTATGTGATTTTTGCTGGGCAAGGATCTCCATGTGCTGCTCTCCCCTCACCAGACACTTCCATCCACCATCCCTCCAGGGTCTTGACGGCTGTGCTGAGCTGCCTGGGAGCTGAACCTGAGTTCCAGCTCTTGGCTGGTGCTGCCCTACCCCTAACACACAGCACTGTGCTTCTCTGAGGCATGTGTCATTATTCTGGGATACAGTTACCCTAAAGGCCGGCCCTTTCCCAATATTCCTTGGGAGAGAACCGCCAGGCCAGCTCTGGGGATGATGGACCTGAAAGGTCAAGCCCCTGCTAGTTTGTTTGGGAGTGTGCTTGGAACAGAAATGGCTCTGCCTTCCCTGCCCATGACCACGCTGCTGTCGGTACCACTCACTGTGGTCTTGCAGGGTTTATTTCCTGTGTCTGTATCCCACACAACGCGACTTTTGGCCAACAAACGTTTTACTGAGAAAGAACGTTGAAGCCATGAGTTCATGTCCCATATCACCCAGAAACAGCTGGCCTGAGCATTGTGTAAGCCTTAGTAATGTAGATAGTGGAAAGACAACCCCCTTCAAGGCTGGGATGCTGTCTTTCAGGATGTGGTGTATGCTTTAAGGCAGCAGTGAGTATAGCATGTTGTTTCTCTCCTAGCTAGAATACATGGTTCTAGAGACAAAGAAGCGACCATAGGAGTGGCTCTCATTCCTACTATTAAACCGATTAACTCAGTCTCAGAAGTTTTACTTCTGTCTCTATGACCTTGGATTCTTCTGATTTTTAGAAGCCTTAATTTGTAGGAAAGCAATCAACAGACTGATAAACTCACTATGCAAGTTAGGTGGGTGATCCTAATTGCCAAGGGAAGATGAGACTCCCTGTGTTACATCTTGGTAACTTGGTATTTCTGTTCCTATTAGTGATGGTCAGTGACAGGCTACTAGCCCAATAAACATAAGACCACTAAGATCCTTTAAGAGTAAAGTGCTGAGTCACCACACCAGATAAAGAATCCCACTAGCTGAGATACTTGAGATAAGATTCCTCTGTATGCTTCTCAGATGATAAAATTCCTGTCCTTGTAATGACCTTCCAGTCTCCTTGGTCACGGACCCTTTCAAATTTCTGGAGAAAGAGATATATCTGAAAGATATATATATCCATCTGGTCTAATGTTTTATTTAAGGCCTTTGTTTTCTTATTTCTTTTTTATCTGAATGGTCTATCCATTGAGGTAATTGGGGTGTTAAAGTCCAATATTTTTACTGTATTACCATCAATTTCTCCCTTTATGCTTGTTATTATTTATATTTTTAGGTGCTCCTATATTGGTTGTGTATATATCTAAAATTAATATATCTTTTACTTGCATTGATCCCTTGATCATTATGTAATGTCCTTATTTGTCTCTTGTCACAGTCTTTGTTTTAAAATTATTTTGTCTGATACAAGTATGGCCAGCCTGGCTTTAATTTTGTCTCCATTTGCTTGGAATACTTTTTCTATCCCCTTATTTTCAGTCTGTGTGTATCTTTAGATCTGAAGTGAGTCTCTTGTAGGCAGCATAGGTATGAATCTTCTTTCTGTATCCATTTAGGTATTCCATGCCTTTTAATTGGCTCATTTAGTCCATTTATATTTAAAGTAGTTATTGATCAGTAGGTACTTTTTGGCATTTTGTTCATTGTTTTCCAGTTGTTTTCTTTTTTTTTTCTCATTTAGTTTTGTTAGTTGGCGGCTAATTACTTCACAATATTGCAGTGGGTTTTGTCATACATTGACATGAGTCAGCCATGGAGTTACATGCATTCCCCATCCCGATCCCCCCTCCCACCTCCCTCTCCACCTGATTCCTCTGGGTCTTCCCAGTGCACCAGGCCTGAGCACTTGTCTCATGCATCCCACCTGAGCTGGTGACCTGTTTCACTATAGATAATATACATGCTGTTCTCTTGAAACATCCCATCCTCGCCTTTTCCCACAGAGCCCAAAAGTCTGTTCTGTACATCTGTGTCTCTTTTTCTGTTTTGCATATAGGGTTATCATTACCATCTTTCTAAATTCCATATATATGTGTTAGTATGCTGTAATGTTCTTTATCTTTCTGGCTTACTTTTCTCTGTATAATGGGCTCCAGTTTCATCCATCTCATTAGAACTGATTCAAATAAATTCTTTTTAATGGCTGAGTAATATTCCATGGTGTATATGTACCATGGCTTCCTCATCCATTCGTCTGCTGATGGGCATCTAGGTTGCTTCCATGTCCTGGCTATTATAAACAGTGCTGCGATGAACATTGGGGTGCACGTGTCTCTTTCAGATCTGGTTTCCTCGGTGTGTATGCCCAGAAGTGGGATTGCTGGGTCATATGGCAGTTCTATTTCCAGTTTTTTTAAGAAATCTCCACACTGTTCTCCATAGTGGCTGTACTAGTTTGCATTCCCACCAACAGTGTAAGAGGGTTCCCTTTTCTCCACACCCTCTCCAGCATTTATTGCTTGTAGACTTTTGGATAGCAGCCATTCTGACTGGCATGTAATGGTACCTCATTGTGGTTTTGATTTGCATTTCTCTGATAATGAGTGATGTTGAGCATCTTTTCATGTGTTTTTTAGCCATCTGTAGGTCTTCTTTGGAGAAATGTCTGTTTAGTTCTTTGGCCCATTTTTTGATTGGGTCATTTATTTTTCTGGAATTGAGCTGCAGGAGTTGCTTGTATATTTTTGAGATTAATCCTTTGTCTGTTGCTTCATTTGCTATTATTTTCTCCCAATATGAGCACTGTCTTTTCACCTTGCTTATAGTTTCCTTTGTTGTGCAAAAGCTTTTAAGTTTCATTAGGTCCCATTTGTTTATTTTTGCTTTTATTTCCAATATTCTGGGAGGTGGGTCATAGAGGATCTTGCTGTGATTTATGTCAGAGAGTGTTTTGCCTATGTTCTCCTCTAGGAGTTTTATAGTTTCTGGTCTTACATTAAGATCTTTAATCCATTTTGAGTTTATTTTTGTGTATGGTGTTAGAAAGTGTTCTAGTTTCATTCTTTTACAAGTGGTTGACCAGTTTTCCCAGCACCACTTGTTAAAGAGGTTGTCTTTTTTCCATTGTATATCCTTGCCTCCTTTGTTGAAGATAAGGTGTCCATAGGTTTGTGGATTTATCTCTGGGCTTTCTATTCTGTTCCATTGATCTATATTTCTGTCTTTGTGCCAGTACCATATTGTCTTGATGACTGTGGCTTTGTAGTAGAGTCTGAAGTCAGGCAGGTTGATTCCTCCCGTTCCTTTCTTCTTTCTCAAGATTACTTTGGCTATTCGAGGTTTTTTGTATTTGCATAAAAATTGTGAAATTATTTGTTCTAGTTCTGTGAAAAATACCGTTGGTAGCTTGATAGGCATTACATTGAATCTATAGATTGCTTTGGGTAGTATAGCCATTCCAGTTGTTTTCATGCTTCTTTTTTTGTTTCTTGTTTTGCTCTCTTCCCTTGTGATTTGATGACTATCCTTAGTGTTACACTTGGATTCTTTTCTCTTTTTTCTGTGTGTGTATCTAGTATAGATTCTTGGTGTGTGAATACCTTCAGGCTTATATATATATCAATATATATACATCAGTATTCTGTAATTGTAATTATTTTCAATTGTTGGCCTCTTAAGTTTAACACATCCTTACAACTCTGCATTTTTATCCCTCTCATTGTTCATTTTTTTTGACATTGTATTTCATGGCTTTTTATTTCAAGTATTCGTTAACTGCCTATTGTGGATATAGATGAGTTTACTACTTTCATCGTTGACTTTCCTCCTAGCTTTATAAATGGTTGACAGCTACCCTGAAGGTTGTTGTTCAGTTGCTCCATCATGTCCAGCTCTGGGACTTCACAGGCTGCAGCATGCCAGGCTTCCCTGTCCATCACTCTCTCTCAGACACATATACCTTCATTTTTCCTTACCAATGAGACTTTTTCTTTGATAATTTTCATACTTCTGATTGTAGTCTTTTCTTTTTCATTTAGGGAAGACCATATAACATTTCTTATAAAGCTGTCTTTTTGTTGCTGAACTCCTAGCTTTTTGCTTGTTGTAAAACTTTAGCTTTCTCCTTCAAATATAGCCTGC